ATCCTTCAATCTTCAATTTCTTCAATCACAATAAATCATTAGCAAAACTAAGTCAGCTGTTATAAACTTTAGAAGTATTCTTGTGCCTTATAAATACAGTCTTTTGAAATATTAAAGAAACTATTTCTATAGGCCTACTATAAAAAATGTTAAACAAATAATTTAGCACAAAAGACAGCATACAAAACTAATATGATTATCAAAGTGTCGAGGACTAAAAATGTAATAGCAAATACAGTATATGTTTCATTGCATCTCTGATTCTACTCTACAAAAATATCAACAAACAACTTAATATACAAACCAGTTCTTTTAACCAGTTCCATCATCCATTGCCTTTAAATTTTCAAACTTACCATTAAGTAAACATAGGTAGTAACAAATATTTTATTGATTTTATAAACAAAAGAACACTGTGTACTGCTTAGTTTTATGATACTTTCCTTGGTTTAATTTAATCAGTGGTGTGGCAAAACACAAATAATAAATTTAATGTGAACTGAAAGCTATGTTAAGATAAATAAGAGTATTTTTTATTACCATTTGATAATTTAATATAGTTACACATATACAACAGATTTTAGAACACAAAATCAATGACGTACAATTTTGTTATTGATGATATTCTTTAGTTTAATTTAAGCATAGTTTTAGCAAAACACAATAACTAAATTTACCTAAATATACTTATAAAAAACAATGTGATGTGCAAGTTATGTTAAGTTAATCTAACACATGTTAAGCAGTTCAAATTTATTTAAAATAGCCTCCAAATTCATACAAAACATCTATAAGGATTGTAATTTTCATACTGTTTCCATGAAAACATATCAATAACATTATTTTCATAACTGAGACGAAAAATCCAAAGCAGAGCCGGAGTTGATACAGCAACGGTTATAAAATTTTTTTTTTCTATAATCATTGACAGTTTTAGAATAAATAATCCATGATAAAAGGTTAGATTAAAATAAAACTACCTCATAGTTATGGAAAATATTATATTTAACTTCTTTGTATCAGCTGTCTGAAATTGTGAAATATGCAATTTAGCAGTTCTTCTTGTTTACATTGAATTGAAGCAAATGTAAACAAACATTGTTAGTGTTCTAATCGCAGTCATGGAGACCAATCAATATTTACTTTTAAAATCCTCACCTCAGAACTGTAAAAGCCAAAGGGGCAAAGCCTACGGTCAGTGTCGAAATGTGAATAGTCCTATAATGGTCCTTGGTATGTTAGCTATATTTCTGTAAAATTTAAGCTTAGTTGGTTCAGTAGTTTTTGCACCTATTAGTAATACACATACAGACACCATTAGATTTTTATATAATAGTATAGATAGGATTGTTTTAACGAGTACTTAGGTTTGCTGCAACATGGAGGGTAAAAAGATATATATTTTTTTTTGTAAAATGTGATAGTCTAGCATGAAATGAATGCATTTTCCAAATTTGATCAAAATATGTTCATAAACAAGCAAACTACATCTGTTTTTCTTATTCTCCATAAGAATAACATGGGAATTTTAAATTTACAGATTTTTTAAATTTGCTCCGTAACCATTAGACGCATAATAACGCTTGAATATATTAAATTATTTGTTTTTTTAAGCTCTACAAAATGGTTTGGAAAGAAATTGCACAATTTTTACCCCACAAAACCCCCCATAAACCCCTGTTCCCATAGTCTGATCATGCTGGTTCGCGAACTCGTTCGAAAAAACGTAGGTTTACACGTTGTACCAAATTTAATCAACATCGGATGATTTTTGCTCGAGTTATCGTGCCAATGGACACATATATAAATATATATATATATATATATATATATATATATATATATATATGTATGTATGAATTTGGACGGATAGTATTTTTGGTCTCTAGGGACCTCAAAACGAAAAAGTAAATCGGTCCCGGGTCCAGGACTTACCATGAGTGCTACGGTAATAGCTTATTCCCTGTAGGGGAAATTCGCTAAAAGGAGTGGATGTGTTTTTTTCTGGAATACCATTTTAATAAAACCAAGGTGAATATAATCAAATTAAGGTGTACGCAATTAACTTTTGCTTCTAAAATGAATTAAATGTCTGTTACTATGTTTTTGTTTTACTCAATGGTTAGCGTGTGGATTGATATTTTGTCAAACAAAGCTCACTAGGGTAACTAATAAATATAAAAGCTTGTAATATACATGAAAGTATATATTTAATAATAGTTTTGAGATCTCAAAACCCAATACTGAGTTATTTGAAATCTTAGCTTTAGTATGGTTTATGTAACATGATAAACTTACCGTTTCCAAGTGCTGGAAAAATGTGAAAACAATTACATTTTACAAAGAAGATTCACTGTTAATAAGTTTTATCCCCTCCAGTTAGAACTAATGGAAGTTTAATAAATACTCTTTAAGGTCTGTTTTGTTAATACAATCTTCTTTCTTTAATTTTTTGTGAGAGAAGAATCATTTATTTTCATAGTATAACTTTGCAAAACATTAATTTAGCTGTATATTCGTTTTAAAGCCATTAAGAAAAAATAATGGAAGGAATAATTAGTATTTTACCGCAATATATAGAAAATGCAAAATGTTGTTAACGAGGTTGGCTTATAGGCTTGTGTTAAAATGGCTTATACCAAAATATACTAAACAAATACGTTGAAATATGTTTTGTAACATTAATTTCAATCAAATAGTAGTATCTCGTAGTAGAAAACTTAACTATTGTATTCCTTTAATATGTCCTTAAAACAGTTTATCATATTGGAAACGTTGTATAAACAACAAAAGGATTATTTACAAGGGCATTTGAAAGGTGTAATTTGATGAAATATTTGTAATAAATGACAATATCAACTGTTTATCTTCAAACATGAATAACGGATCTCATCTTTAATCTGTTCACGTATTGGTAGATGTAGTTCATCAACTTTTAAATATATAGATATGCAATTAAAATTTGAATTTTTGAGATATTTATTTAAAGTCAAGTTAGTACAACTGGAATATTTATTAACAAAACAGCCCACCCACATCATTATTGATGCTTTCGTGGTAAGCTGTGATTAGTTTAATGAATGATCGGATTCTGCCGTGACATAGAATTGTGGATCTCGTTATCATTGTCAGTGTTTGTTATAAATATTATAGGACCAGGCTGGCCTAATAAAGTGCCGGACATATGTTTTGGGAAGTCAGGTTCCCAATACACAGCACTAAAATCAAAAATTATTTATCGAAAATAATTATTATCATTATAATCGGAGTTCATTTACTACTTATTTAATTTGATTTACTGGTAAAGACTAACATTTTAAAAGAGGAAAGTATTTCCAGATACAATTATGTTTACTAGCTATTCTACGATTGGTATGCCTTAGGTGTTAAATCTAGTTTCCCTTTAGTTTTATAAAATATTACCAATAAGTTAAGATAACAAATGCAGAAGACGTCAAACAGTTATCCAAACAATAGTACATAGATATTGATACAAAAATACATAGATACATTAGGTATTAGCCTTATTACGCAGGGTTAGCTCATTACCGGGCTGAAATTATCGTAATTGTGTATTCCATTTCCAATCGTATGAAAGCTGTTGGTTTGTAACGACATTTTTGTCATGCATGATCTAGGAGAAATGATAAGTAGATAAGGGAGAAATGTTTTATGTAAAATTGTTTAAGAATTTTTACAAAAACATGCACTATCAAATCAAGTAAATAATATTTACAGCAACAATGTTAAACATATTTTTGAAATAGTATTTTAACTAATGGAGTTGATACAGAACAATAGTGTATTAATTTTGTGTACAGGAATAATCAATCAAAACTTAAACACATAACTAATGAATCTGATCTTTGAAACTTAATCTTTTAAACAGTGCCTCGGCCACTCAATCCCAAACGTCGCTTAATAAGCAGAAGAATCTTTCTTACTAAAACATGACAATAATCCTAAATGAGAGGAATGTCAATTACAAGGAATGTTTTTAATATAAAGCAGAAACAGAAATTCCGTAATTATTACATTGCAATGCCATAATGAAAATTACAATCAAGACATTTTTATCTAATAACATCAACATGTTTAGGCCCTTGGGTACTTTTAGAACCCTTTTACAAGGTTTACAACCTATTTATGACCCACGAGTTACTTTTACAGCATGTAATACAATTTAAGAACACGGGCATTTTTCATTTCTCCACATACAAACACAACACGTTTTTAGGGGTTTTTATTTTATACACAATTAACGAAGAGGTTATTTTATGAACAGAACTTCTCCTACAGTTAGTAACCAGTTTTTATGTGATTAGTATAAATATAAACTGCTCACCCTATAGCTGTGTTTCATAAAAGCTTCGCCTCAGAAACCCTCAAGGTTACCATGTTAGTTTTATGAAATGTTAATAAAATAGCTATGCTAATAGTGTATTTTTAACTCGATGGGTTTCAACATTTGCATATCATTCTCATTCGTATTATGTTTTTCTAATTACTGATTTATAAACACATATACAAACTTACTCTTAGGTTAAACAGTAAAAAGATTTACTCAAAGATATAAGAGGAAGCTTGTCAAACTTGAGGAAGAAATTGGGAGGCTATTTAGAGGTAAAGGACCCTGAGAATTTGAGAGCTCAATTTGTTGTATTGCTATTTGATGGTTTTTTACCAAAATTGCCTGTTATATGCCCTTCTTTTTCAATTTGAAAGTGTATTAAATTCATGAAACAATTAACTCCTAATAGGAACATGAAAGCTAATGGTATTTTCTTTTATATCCTAATTTTATAAAACGAGATGAAGATGGGACAAATGCGTGGGGCCTTGTTAAAGGGTGCGGCAAAATAACCTCCCTATTTTTAACACCTCCTATTTTTAAACGTAAATAAAAATTACGTTAATTAGTTTTATTTTTTTTACTTATTCTCTAACAAGGGAAGTTTACTTTTACTTAGTTTTAAAAAGAATGTCTGTTAAATGGTGACCATGGCTGTTGATACACTGCTGCAGACGAACTCTGAAGCTGTCGTATACTCTCTCCAGCATGGCTTGAGGTATTCGCAGAATTTCCTGGCGTATTGCCTCTTTCAGTTCTGGCAGATTCCTGGGGCGACGTTTAAACACCTCGGCCTTCAGTATAACACGGATATAATAGAACACATATACAGGGTGAATTTTAAATGAGTTCCCCCCCTACTTTTTTCTACATTTCTTAAGATATCAACTTCGGACCACGTCAGATCATTGTAGTGTAGTAAGTACTTCATTTTGACAGGGTAAACATTTTGGCCGCCATCTTGGATCCGCCATATTAAATACAAAACTTTTATTTCAAATGTAAAGGTAGGGTTGTGACCCATTGTTCCAAACTAGACTTTCACGCTGATTACAATGCCGCAATTAGTTTTTCAAAATCTTGATCCGTTCTAAAGTTATGAGGACGTTTTATAACTTTATTTTTAGCCCATTTTTACATTGTGCATTTACAAACTAAGGCCATAATCTCAAAATAGTGCTAGATAAAGATAAGTATACACCACCATTCATTGTCGACCTATTATCACTTTGTTATGTATGACGGATGTATTTTTTTTCGGCCGCCATCTTAGATCTGCCATTTTGAAATGTGATACATTAATTTAAATATGAATGTGGTGTTGTGACCCATCATATTGAACTACCTTTTCATGCTGAACTCAATGCCGCAATCCGTTTTTGTCTCTCCGGCTTTCTTGATTAAATATTAAAATTATCTTACTTAAATTTCCAATATTTCAAAAAACAAATATGAAAATGCAAAACGGATTGCGGCATTGAATTCAGCACAAAAAAGTAGTCTAAAATGATGGGTCACAACACCACCTTCATATTTAAATTAATTTGTAACATTTCATAATGGCAGATTCCAGATGGCGGCCGAAAAAATACATCCATCATAACCAAGTGAAAATAGGTCGACAATAAATAGTGGTGTATACTAATCTTATCTAGTAGTATTTTGAGATAATGGTCTTAGTTTGTAAATTCACAATGTTAAAATGGGCTAAAAATAAAGTTATAAAATGTCCTCATAACTTTAGAACGGATCAAGATTTTTAAAAACTAATCAGCGTGAAATTCTAGTTTGAAACAATGGGTCACAACCCTACCTTTACATTTGAAAAAAAAAGTTTTGTATCCAATATGGCGGATCCAAGATGGCGGCCAAAATGTTTACCCTGTCAAAATGAAGTACTTACTACACTACAATGATCTGACCTGGTCCGAAGTTGATATCTTAAGAAATGTAGAAAATAGTAGGGGGGGAACTCATTTAAAATTCACCCTGTATAATAACACATGTATAACACAGATACTGAAATAGCAGAGACAAGGTATGGATTTTGTCTTTGGTAATATAAACTTCATTAGTTAATGGTCTGAATGTTGATCGTAAAATCGTGATATCGTATCAGGCGACAAGAAGGAAGAGAACTGAGACCTAACGGAATGTTTAATAGTTTGTACGGTTTTCATATATTGTCTATTGGTTATGTGAACTGCTACGACATTGGAACGTGATTAGATTAAGTTTGAAACGGTTACATTACAATATTAAAGACCGTAAGGTGTTGATTGTTTCCTCAAGTAAACTATGAGCTCTGATACCCAAAGTAAATTTAAATCTATAGAACAAAGTGTTGTAACTTTATATTCAAAGTAATAAATTGTCGGTAATTCCAGAGTTAGCTTTGACTGCTAAAAATCTCAAGGTCAGTTTATAGCAAGGATTGTATATTACCTTCTCCGTGTTTTGCATGGACAATTTTATGTGGCTGCAAGTAGACAATAATCCCTACATGAGCCCAAGACATCTGTATAAAACAATTAATAACACGATCGGTTCCTGAAAATTATAAAATATAGTTTCTAACATCAATCATACTTCAAAACGAGGAAGTATCATCGGTCAATGGTAAAACAACGTGATTCTAATTATTCCTTATTCATGACTTTGTACAAGATGACTATAGTTTACTTGCAAGCTGAAACAGCCGATTTAAATTATTTGTTTTAGTTCAAATTTAGATTGTATAAAGATAATCTGCAATATTATCAATGGCAGTTGCCAAATACCCTGATGATACCTTTTCGATGCTATTTAATGATACCTTCTAAGTAATCTTTGATCGATGGTCTTCACTCGAATGTTTCTGTTTTCCTTTGTACTGTATATAGGTAACATATTGGCTTGTTTATAAACATGTGCTATGATTCTTCGTCTACAGTTACGTTGTCACTGCGTAACCATCATAGCGACAAGGAAGCCTAGTATTAAACATTTTTAATTTTAAATTGTAGACATTCTCAAATTAGAGTTTGTTTGAAAACAACTTTTTTTTTTCCAAATCACCCTGGTAGGTTTGGCGAACAAACGTTTAGCCGCGATCGCGTAATGAGATTACATGATTTACATAAGGCTCGATCTCATGATGCCACTTTATCCTTTGAATGTTCAATGTAGCTTTATATTAATGGAGGAATCAATTGTTTCTTGCAGTAAAACATTTAAAATGAGATATTTTTGTTTACTTTGTTGAAGTAAATAAATATATGGCTACAGAATCATTTAAATGGGCTTCCCTTAGCTGGAGCTGTTCTCTGAGAGAAGAATAATTTTGCTCAATGTAAAATGAATTGACCACAGACCAAATGAGTCATTCGCCACATCAGGCATGTAGAGGGTTTTAACATTGTGTTATCACATTTGCTAACTTAAGCGAAACTCTAGAGAGTTTGAAAGTAGGTGAAATTAATAAGTTAGTGATGAATAACCGCAATAGAATAAATCATCGAAGACTCTATCATCGCGGAAAATATATTCAAGGGTGTTTTTCTAAGGCGTTTATATACACTGCAAAATGTAACTATGAAAACAATGCTGGAATAATGAATAAGTCATTCCTCTTGTTAAGTTCCAAGACCAATCACTCATACTCTGAGCCACGGAGCAACATAAATTAGGAAATAAATTCAGTACAGTTCAAAAATCACAATAAACTACTGACACATAAAAGAGTGAAGTTTGCTTCATAGTAGTAGATTTTGCCTCATGTTGCATACCAAAATAATGTAAAGACCGAAAGGGCGATTATATATTATTTGTTCTATCTAAAAGCGTAATGAAGGATATTTTACTGAATTTGAAGGAATTGATGCTTCGCAATGTGATTCATTTTAGTATACTATTCTAGTATTCGAGTGGCGAATGTGTCGAAAAGGTTTTACTTTGCCTTAGTTAGATGTGTTTTTTTCAAATGTTATGAATGAAGGTGCAGTAATATTATTGCAGTAATATTATTCTGTATGAGTTTCTGATAAATGCTGTATCGGTATAAAGCGAGACTCACAAGTTAACTCTAACACACACACACACACACACACACACACACACACACACACACACACACACACACACACACACACACACACACACACACACACACACACACACACACACACACGCACGCACACACCAAAACACACACAGTATCGAGAAACAGCCGGATATTGGTATTCACGTTCATGTTTAAACAGTAAAAACAATCTTGGAATAGTTACTTTGCAAAACAAACTTGCAGTCGCAAACAACAATATGAGGGTAGAGCGTTGTCAGACACGTGTTATGAAAATTAATGTACATAATTTATATTACATTATTTACGTTCATTGTGCGCATAGGGTCATTATGTGGCACAATAAGGCTACGCTTACATATTGAACAGATTCTACCTCTGTATATACTGTGTATGTATAAGTAGAGTGAAATTAAGATATCGCGGTAGAGCCTATAATGTAACTGTAATTTTGTCATTCTAAATCTCCCTTGTATCATTCATCGACACCACAGACAGTGATATATCAGGTATTAAAATCATAAATGTCGAAAACACAAATTATAGAATAATTACACAAAAGTTGGGTTAAAACACCGTATGGGGTTTCTTGTTTTATTTATTTATTCTTTGGAGTCAGGGGTTAATGTTGTTAATGACAATTTTTTATTTTTCGTTGATATGAAAAAATATGACATTGGGTTTAGTTGGGTAAAACCCTTGATCCTCATCATCCTCCTAAAGGATTTCTTTCTGTATTTTACAAGCTACACGTCCTTATTATAAGACACTTACTCAAACTATTTAAGGAACTTACATGTCTGATTATTCAGGCTCTGGAAAAATATCCAAACACATCTGATTCTTGAATACTTTTAAAAATAAAGACTTGTCAAACAGAAAACTTAATTTCCTTGAAATATAATTGTTAAATGTTATAATCAAAATTATTGTACATTTCCCTATTAGAATATAACAGAAAGTCTTTACCTCCCCATGGCACAGCTGGTGATAACACGCGGAGGGAAACTTACAAACAAGTTTATTATTAAACTTTACATTGCAGCACACGAACTCTAAAGAGTTGTGAACCACTTATTTAAACTTTAATAGCTAAATACCAGGTGTTAAATCTTTTTGGGATTTTCTAAGATACATTCGTTTCTTTCTTTGAACAGAATTTAAATAAAATGAGTGATTAACGTTCGTAGTTTTCTTAAGTTATATAATGATAAAGCTTCCAATTGTAAAAAGCTAAACCGTGTAAACTATGAAGGGCAGTTTAACCATGTTATCAGTAATTTGTAGATTTCCATGGGAATTGATTTACTCCAGGGCTTTTGTATGAGATAGGGGGTTTGGTTGAAGTGACAACAGGGTTACCACCGGACTAACAAACCAAAACTTATAGATTATTTTAAATCCTAACAATGTCATTGTTTCATAATCATGATAGCCAGGTAGTTGAGTGGGATACAGACCCCACTTGGTAGGCAGTAGGATGCCCTTTTGATCCTGAGAATGATAAAAATTGTTTCAGTGATTCTAAAGTGAATTACTACCTGTTACACAATGGTGAAATATATAAAATATATATGTATATACACAGGCTAATCTTATAAAAATAACAATTAAATAAGCTATATAAATCTAATAAATCAGCAATATCCAGTAATCCGTGGCTTTGGAACTGGCATTCGTTACACGAGAGACACATATGCAATTCACCATTACAGCTCATTGTTTGATAATGTA